ACGCATAAATTTTATTTTTATTCGAATTTATTCGGAAATATTTTAAAGTAATGACATATTAAACTTCCACTAAGTATAGAATTTAACATTTCTGTAATTCAGAAATTACTCGAAAAAGCGTGTCCTTAATTTCATTTCCGAACCTTAGATTAGTGGTTTTTCAAGAATCAGAAAAAGTTCCCAGCTGTATGGAAACAAGTATTTTAATTCCCCTTCAATAGCTGTACCTCTTTGTTTTTCGAATCATGAACTTATCAGTTGTTTTGAATAGCAATATCATTCCTACATATGAAAGAAGTTGATGCCAGAACACATGCCTGTTTTAAAGAAGTGATCTCTAAGACTACTTTTTATGATGAATCGAAACCTCATTAACTTGGAAACATATTATAATTGCTTTAAAGATTGGTATATTCAACAGCAGTTTCAAAAGAATTATTTTATTTGTAATTGAGATTCTAAAAAGTTATAAGAAATGTATAAGATATACGCTAGCGGCAAACTCTTCTCAAACAAGTTTCACGAGAACCAAGATGCCATCAACTGAAAAGAAGCTTTGTAAAGTAATGTGGGTGGGGTCAGGCCACCAACATCGAAAGCCTATAAATGTGCCATCCAGAATATTGCTATCAGGGGCCCAATCTTTTGTGTCCCGTGCCCTCGCTCTGACAGGCTGGCACTCATAGAGGCCTAACTGGGGAAATGCGCCGCACACTTTTGTAATGCAGTTAGCTATTATCTGTTACTTGAGTGAATATCTTAGCAGGTATTTCAGTGCTTTTGAACAGCCCTATGAGAGAACTTCTCGTAAACTTTAGCAATTAGCATAATAAAGGCGCCTTTTTTAAAAAAAATTTTTCAGAATGGTCGTCAATCGACGTCGAAGTTTATATTTTCAATCTCAAGAAAACTATTCCATGTTTCCTTGAGTAACACCCCCCCCCCCAAAATACAGAAGGAAAAAAAATCTTTTTAACTTGAAATTTTTTTTTTTTTTTTTTTTTTTTTTTTTTTTTTTTTACATATGAATGTTTTATGTATTAAGTCAACAAACTATCTAAGTTAAACTCAGCACATAAAAACAGATAACTAAAAAATATAATACACGATACATAAAATAAATATACCGCTGATTGCATGTGTGTTAATAGTATACATATGTAGATAAGTAAGTCATCGTATAAATATATTTATTTAATGCGTATGTAACTTACATATACACATATTTTTATATATTCCTGATCATTTCAGCTGTCATTTAAATTTCAGCTTAAAACTTCATTTTTATCAAAGGTAATTTAACAGCTTTTTAACGGAATCCACGACAGAATGTTAAGTGACTGCATCAAAATATCGATAGTTTTTAAAGGCGTTTTAAACTTGAAGGTTCTCACCCCACCTCATGTCATCTCTTTCTTTTGTTCCTCTAAATAATGTAATTCGATCAGGGTTCAAATCCTGGCTAACAAGTTGGCTACATAGGCGTTTCGTGGTTTTTCCTAAGTGTAACTTTCCTCATTCAAAAAGTAATCCACGAAAGGCATATCTTCATTTACACTCATGTCCATAAATTAAGGATAATTCGGAGTCACGCGGAAATCGAACTCTAAAATAAATTTATCACATGTAAAATCACTACACACATCTTCAAGAATCATATCCAAATTTCAGGTAGTAACTAGATGACACTGATGGTACGTCACAATGACGAGAGTGTAAGAGAGTGATATATAAGGAATACAGGCAAAGAAGTAAAATTTTCGCAGGCACTTTATAAGCATTTCAGTGCAATAACCGAATAGTTATGACACAAAGGAAGCAAATGGATGATTTTTTACGTGGTAGAATTATCGGCCGTCTGGAATGTGGGCGACCCAACTGGAAGTATCAGACAAACTTGGAATTGCCCAGAGTATCATCTCCAGGCTTTGGCAACATTCCAAGATGATGGTAATGTGAGAGAGTAGACGTTACAGCACAGGTTCGCCCCAGAGTTACAACGCCGAATGAGGACCGGTATTTGGCAGTTACTGCCAAAAAAAACAGGCGGAGCACAGCCTCAGACCTGTCTCGTCAGCTCTCTTCAGCCACTGGTACGACAATTTCAAGGCAGACCGTGTACAGACGCTTAGGGCAGATTGGTCTATATGCTCGTAGACCTGTCATATGCATTCCACTTACTGCAACTCACTGTCGCCTGCGGTTAATCCTGGAGTAGAGAGCATGCATTGTGGACACCGCAACAGTGGGCTTGTGTGATGTTTTCCGACAAGTCCAGGTTTAGCTTGCAGTCTGATTCTCGCCGGACTTTCATATGGAGAGCTCCAGGTACCCGTTACCACCAAGAAAACATCATTGAACAACACCGTTACGGTGGTGCAGGAGTGCTCGTTTGGGGTGGAATTATTCTGGGTTCCAGAACTGACCTGCATGTTCAAATTGGAACCATGACAAGCCAAATCTATCGGGACGTCATTCTGGAACAACATGTACATTTGTTTCGGGGCGCCATGGGCGCACAATTTGTGTTTATGGATGAACAACGCGCCATCCTCACCGTGCAAACATCGTAAGCGAATGCCTTCAATCGGAGGATATCACCCGTATGGACTGGACAGCATTCTCACCGGACTTGAATCCACTAGAGCATATGTGGGACATGCCTGGCCGACGAGTTGCAGCCCGTCAACCTCCTCCTACATGTCTACCGGAACTTCGGAGAGCATTGCTTTTGAGTGGTGTAATTTGATACTCAGCATGCCTAGGCGTTGTACGGACTACATTGCATCGTCTGGGAGACATACAATGTATTAACAATCATACCAGCCATGTAATACTGGTTTTTTGTAAATAGGGTTTTTTTGTAATTTGCTTCAGAGAGAAAAAATCGCTAATTTTTTTTGTAATAGCATATAGCATCTTTTTTTTATCTTTACCTTTTGTTTAATAAATAAGCTTTACAAATGAGTCAAATTTGTTTTGCTTCTAACTCTTCCTTTGCCTGATTTTGTATTATCCTTAATTTATGGACACGAGTGTAGATAGATAGCCTTCATGCGCTTCGCCTTAATAAACCAACTTAACATTTTTCTTTCCATTTTAGACGCGCTGTCTCTATATTTGGCATTATTTACATGTAGTTTAGAGAATAACGACGTGATATCAAAATTTGAATCATATTTAATAGCGTTATAACAGCAGAGTATTTTATTTGCTTTTCTATAAATTAATCTAAGAAAAGTTATTTTATAAAGCTATTTAAAAAATGTATTAAAATGAATATTTTTTGGGGGGGATTGGGTGGATAAATATGAAATAAATGCAAATTTATTTATTTTAATATTAACACATTTATACAGCACTTTACATATCAATATTTTACTTCGCACTTTAAAGATAATTTAATACATAGGTACCTCGAAAGATATGCATAATGTTATCTTGAAATGAATCGATTATTTTTCTAAAATTAGCGATAAGAATTTAAGGTTTAATTTCGTCTGATTTTAAAATTCCTTTCCTTACAACTACAGTCACATAGGTTTCGCGACAGCAGAGTTCTATTTCATTTTAAATCATTTACATAAGCTATTTATTCACTTTAAATCATTTGTATAAGTTTGCAGAAATTATTTCTACTCAAAATGCCTAGTTAAATATGTTATTTCGTAGTTACTTAGATATATAGGTCATTCTACTAAAAGGGTGCTCACGGAATTAAATTTTGTGTTATAAAAATAATTTCCGCAATATAGTTACACATGTTTTTTTCTATTAAAAATATAATTTTTTCCTCTGTATTCTTCTAAAGCGCTCATTCATATCACGCTTTCAGCGATTTATTTGTACTCTGGGGATAAAACGGAACTATAGTATTATTTAATATTTGTCGAAACAAAATTGGAAAAATTTCTCAAAATTTCACATTACAATTGAACACTTCGAAGAATATACCATTAAGTTAAAAAGAAATTTTAAGAAATTTAAAATTATAAAAATTAATGAAATTATAGTCAGATCTTGGCATGCAGACTTCAGTTTAACAACTAAAACAGTTTTAAACTAAGTAGTTGTAAAAAATTACGACAGGCCTACAGATTTAAGAACTGATTCGCCCCAAAACTTAAAGAACATAAAATCTTTTAGTTAAAGTGAGCGGTTCAAAATGGTAGGAAAAATACTTGCTCTGATGTTATTTAAACGTAAATGAACGGCACATGGAAATTTCAGCATTTATTAAATAAAGAAAAGATTTAATGATTCAAGGCGTAGCTGTGTATTTATTTCACTGAATCACTTGTGTACGAGGCATAACGCAAAATATATCCCTCAAGTGCAATACTTTTTATTTTGCAGAACACCAAACCTAAACAATGAAAACAGTAAAACTCCTCTCGGAGTTTTCTTTGAGGTGTTCAGTAAAGAGTTTTCATTGAAATTTTTATATTTTTGACCGGAAATATTTTATAAATACATGATATTTATATTGCGTTTTAAATTAGGCAACTCTAGATTACGAGCGCTCATTTCGCAGAAATATTAGATTTAGAACTGCCTTAATTACAAAATCTTTCCGCTGCCTTTATTCAGCTACTCATTTAAGCTTCTTAACAACAGATTATCGTAAGAAAACAAAACTGAAATAAAAAGAGGTTACAGAGGAAAGATAAAATTTTATTTATTCATTTTTTGGAGGTTAATTTAATATGATATAGTAATCTCAATTCTGATGAACAATTTTTGTTCATAAAACTTCACAACTGCAATCGTTAAGTTTTGAAATCTTTGCCCATATTACCCCCTTCCAGAAGATATCAACCTCTAATATAAAGAAGCAGTAAATCAATGTTTAGCTTGAGAACCTGCAATTTTCATGCGAATCAAGATATTCATCAACTGTTGCTATAGTAAAGAATCCTACAAGAAGCGTTCCTTCTAACAATGAATAAATTTGAAGTTATGCTCCCAAGCATTTTATTGATTTTTGTAAGATTCATTACCTTTTGATTTTGGCGTCGGGAGCTACCTTGTCCACCTGGTATCCGCCTTCCTGGAGGTAATCCAGTACGCTTCTATTCCCCAGAAAGTGACCTAGGAGAAGAAAATGATGCTTGAAACATAATAGGTTAGGTTGAGATTTTAATCCAACGCGATGAGAAATCTTAATTTGCAGTACAGATGGAGGTTTAAGCAAATGAGAAATTAAGTTTAATTACACAGTACTATCCCATGCTAAGTTTTTCTTGATGAATAATTAAACTAATGAAGATTATTGTACAATGCCATTCATTATATCTTTAATAAAAAATCTGATGGGGACACCACATGACTTCCTTCTATGGCCTATTAAATTATACTCACTTTTTTTCCTTCTTTTTTCCCTCTGCACTTCATTTAAACTTATTTCTTGAATTATTCTAACTTAATTAACCGATGGCTCCAGGCACGCAGAAAATGACACAAAAATTTTTTGAAATTTTGAAACTAAATATCCCGGTCAATTTTTGTCGTACGGAAATCAAATCTCTTTTAATTTTCATTTTTCATAATGCGCATAAAATTCCCAAATACAAGTATAGATACTAGGAAATGGCATTAAACGTAATATTTTGTTATTTGTCGAAAATTAATTTATTTTTAAATTTGACATTGACAAAACATGAATATTTTTGTCACTTAGAACACTTCTGTAACTGGACGTATATGTCTACGACCAACGATTGCGAAAATAAAGGCCGGTTAAGGACTTTTAAGCCAGGCAAGAATTGGGGGGGGGGGCTATAAATACATACATACTTTTAGTACTGCCGATTGCAATAAGAGAGGGAGGTGCACAACTACATGTTATAACAGTCCCATTTATAAAATGTTCCAAACATATTCATTATCTTTCCAGAGACGTTCCACTTACTGTAAAAACGTTGGGATCGGTGCATACAAGCGCAAGAAGATGACTTTAAAGAAAAGGAAGACCAGATTTAATTTATATTTATTTTTAAAATTTATTGTAGAGGATGCTTAACAACTTAATTAAAATTTCTAAAGCTGAAAGCGTTGGAACACGTGCAAAGGAATTACTTTGGAGAGGAGGAAGAGTGGTTTCGATTCGGGTAAATTTTCAAAATTTGGTTGACCTTCTTTTTGTTCGGCATAGTACATACACTCTCTGATTTCATAAAAACATTGCTCCAAACTGTGAATATCGAAATTAAGTGAGATGTAAGAAAATTTTTTATAAGGTAATCACCATTTCCTACTTACACAAAAAAATGACCAGTAATGCTCTAGTGTTAAAATTGAATTTCATTTTATTTATCCATCATGAAATATTATTATTTTCGTTTTTGCTTATTTCTGCGTATGTATGTAAGCGCACGCGAACACTCACAGTTTTTTTTTTTTTTTTCCAGTCTTTTCAAACTTGATGATCTGCACTTTTCTATTCGGAAACGCTCCGTGACGCAAACAAGCACCGTAAGTCGCGTGCCCATTTCAAGAAAGATAAAATTCCGTCTTGATTGAGGCGTCGGCATTTTCTGCTCTGTTATTAAGCATAACAACAAAAGTACCGCTAAACGCAACCCTTCATTAGAACAAGGAGCAGAAAAAAAAAATTCTTTTGATCGATAGCCTCGTACTCGGCGGCCTCAGATCGACGGGAATAGATTTCTTTTCCTTTTTATCGGATGCGCAGAGTGGCAACAATGATGGCTGAAGACGATTATGAGAACAAGCCAAGCTCTGTTCTTTTTCCGCCGGCTCCTTCGGTATTGCACAAAAGAGTCATTCAGCAACATATGTAACGTCAAATTTAAACTGCTAAATGATAATGTAAAAAATAACAGACATAAATAATACAGTTTAAAGGATATCGTTGCATATCTAAAAGAGGTAAAGAGATAGAAGGATAGAAGTACATTTCAGCATGAATATTAATAGTATTTGTTGCGAATGTAAGATTTATTATCCTGTGTTCTTAACTGCTCATTTAATCAGTTTGAAGCCGAAATCCTTTCGGTTTTACTACCTAAAAATGGTTAGGTAAAATTGAGTTCAGTGACAAACTATCAATGAACCAATGAGGTCAGGCTACTTTTTAATACTTTCCAGTTAAACGTTACATATAAAAATGTAGAAAGGAACTTAATTTTATCTCTTTTGAGAATCTGTTGTGTTCGAATGCGGTCGGATTTGCGCGTGTTGGACAAATCTGGATTGCGTCGATTAACATGAAGGCAGGTTCCATCGCTGCCATTATATGCGCTAGTCGCAAGAAATTTAAATTATCTCGTAGCTCTTACAAATGATAGTATTTTAACTGTTATTACCATATTTTAGTTTGTTTTCATGAAAATGTTCTTATGACACGTCAAAGAGTTCGTAATGCAGTGTACTGAAGCAGTAATTCCGGCTTTAAGCCATGATAAATCGATTGCGACCTTCATGAGATAGTAAATACAGCATGTGCAAAAAAGCTCAGTTTAGGTTAATGCAGCTGCTCAGTCGTTAGTATTACGATGATATGATCTCAGCATGTTTTCCATTATACAATAAGCATAATATTATTTTGCATTAACCAGTGATTTATAATTTCAGCTTTTACTATAACTTTTCCTTTTCGTTTCTTCACCCGAAATACAAATGAATTAAAGGGCATTTAAGCTGAGGTTTTTTGATTGTAAAACAGAGTGTATTTCTGCCTCTCGATACTATTTTACTTTAGTTTTGACAAAAGCCATATCGGTTAAGTTGTAATTATTCGGCTTTGCGTTACATGCTGCCGACATTCAAATTGTTACGCCGGTTAGAGTTTTGAGGCAACTTCGATTTAAATTTAATTGTGTAGTCTTTGAATCCAAGTCTAAGTTTTTAATTAAAATTTGACTGTTACTTTAGTTCATCGCCAGACGTGATGGTTGATTTCTGTGAGCACGAGAAGTGTATTTATTTTCTAAGTTCTGTTAAGTAAAAATGTTGTTTTAAACTTTTTCAATTCTGTGTAGTTGTTTCAGACAGGAGATAATTCGCTTAATGTCTGTTAGGGCTTGAAATTAATTCATGTTCCTAAGGAAAACCAACTCTATAATAACTTTCGTAGCGTATATTTTCAGGCGGAGCAAAAAAATTAACACGTAAGATGGATTTACTTTAGATATTTCCTTTACCAAAAATGAAACCTACCTGATATTCTAAAAGAGAATTTTATTCTCTTATGTTAGAAAAATTTCGCAAGAAATTCTTGAAGGGCATACTGTTTGAACTGTAAAAATCATTATCTAGTCATCTTCAAAGTGAAATCCATAGGAATATACAGAGTTGCTCTAGCTTCCCTAAAGTTCTTGAAAACACTAACAGAATACCTGTTTCGATATTTTATAAACTTTTATAAACCGGTCGGCGCATCATTTTGAGTAGTTTCAATAGCTTAAAAACATCGATTTCATTGAATTACTTTGATAAGTGAGAACATCGGAGACAAAGAATGAGAAATGTGACATATAATGTGGTCATGACATGGTAGAGCAAAGAAACCTGCGATCATTTCCTAAAGCAATTAATAATACCCGAACTGAGAATAAAAGGTTTGTACTATTTTGCAAACCTTCTTTTCTACGTAAAGCAAATATATTTTAAAAATTTGTTTATTTATTATGACTTATTTAATATCAGTATGATTACCTTTAAAGCATCTTTAAAGCTGTTTGCTTCCTTTTCTCTCAAGATGCTTTGTGACACGAAGTTTTCGCCTTGCGTTATTTCCTCCGCGACATTTTCCTCCACGATGTTTTCGTCTGTAACCTATTTGAGGCATTGAACTGAGCGAAAAACCTCAGCAAACTATGATTTTCCAGGTATTTCTAATTGAACCCTCCACTTCTTTGACACGATTTTCTCAAACTGATAGTCTTTCATTTAATTAATTTCTTTCAATATTCAGTTTTTTCGACAGTTATATTTCCATAAATATTGTATTCTTATCAAAGTCTTTTAAAACTTTAGTTTAAAGTCGCTTACTCGTATCTCTCAGGGGACATTCTTTTTCATTTTTTAGGCAGTTTAACTGCAAATTAAGCTTAAAGTAAAACTCGGAGGACAATAATTGAGTTACACACGCTTACTAAATGACAAAGGAATAAAGCATCACCCAAACGTCTTCGATCAACAGAATCCAGCGTTTATTTTGTCCCTCCTAGTGATCCGACATTAATATCCGGTTCAAATAATAAATAACTTTTGATAGTTTTGCGGACCAGTAAGCGACATATTTTTTTAAATTATTTGTAATAATATGAACAAAAACTAGATATTTGAAACATTCTTTTTCAGAGAAATAAATACAAAATTTATATTTCATATATTTCTACTAAAAGAGATATGATAAAAATCGTCAGACTCTTAAATTTAGTCTATACTGGAAATACTTAGCTTGAAACTCGGCGCTACGATATAGATATATCGTGAAATAAGATTTTAGCTTTTATTGGGACCCCCCCCCCGAAAAAAAAAAAAAAAAAAAAAAAAAAAAAAAAAAGGAAAATCAATCCTAATATAGTCAAGAAGCCAAAACTGAAGGAACACTCACCTTGAAAAACAAATATTAAAAATTCGACTTTGAATCTGTATCAGTTCCGAATGGTATGAATAACTCATAAAATACAAAAGATGGTTTAAATAATATTTTTTATTTTATTTTCAGTTTAAACATAAAGGCAAAATTTGCGCTACAGACGAAATTTCTACAACTTGTGGACATTTTAAATTAATAGAAGAGACAATTAAATTCGAACATCGATAACATCGAACTTGTAATAATTCTAAGATTATTCATTAAATAGAATAAGCTTGCTCATATATTTTGCCAGCGCGCATTTAAAACATCGGCTGTAACGTCAGAATATAATTTTTAAACAAAGCTGACTAAAAATACTAACAGCAAGATGCGATCGACAGAAGCTCTCTCAACTAAAGCTTCGAAACCCTCAACTTAAAATTCTCGTAAAGCTAATTTGCATTCTGGTGAGGAATATGAAAAGGAGAAGTTATAGTAAAGATTTAAAACATAATAACTGGTTAACTAACATGAGATACATTACAAATCTAATAGCCTGACTCCTAATTTAAGCGGTTCCACTAGTGGCCGAGTGTTAAAGACCACTCATAGTTTGTCCCAGAAACCAACCCATGCGCACGATCTGGCTGCAAATTTTTAGTGATTTATCCCATATAAACATAAACAGGCCACTTTTCCCTCCATGAAGGCCCATTAAGCAGATAGCTTCAATATGTTTTGTTATTGTTGTCCATGTAATTCATGAAAGAATGAATGCCAGAGCCAGGATCTCCCACCCCTCTCCCCTACCACCAAGCATGGACGTAGGAAGTAAGCATGGAGGTAGGAAGTCCTTTTTTACCTCCATGCCACCAAGCCACATGAGAGGACTTTCGGCTAGCCATATATTTAGAGTTTCTCCACGCCACAACATTTACAAACATCCATGCGTTCTCCGAGATTCGAAACCGGGCCCTTCGGTACCGCAGTAGGCTTACCTAACCACTACACTGTCTGGGCGACCTCCATGTCTTCTGGCATATTTAAATAATTGGATTCTATCGGAAATGCTAAAGACATGCTGTTTTTTAATAATTTGCGATTTTTCTGTTGAATTTTACATGGAGTTAAGTGCGAAGAAAACGGTGCTTAACGAAGCTAAAAAGCCCCCCCCCCTCCCAAAAAAAAATTCTATGGATGAGTGCAACAGCAGACTTGATAGGTTGCGAGCTCAGCGAGAGCGTAAAAAAAAAAAAAAAAACCTTAACAAATCCTTTTGGGTGACCGCTAAAATCTAAAACCCCTCAGACTTTTTTGGGGGAAAGGGGAATATAAAATCTTTAAAAAAAAATCAGGTCGGAATTGAACAAGCCTTCGCTCAGATGGAGCGCTTCATCTCAATTAAACTCATGACAATATTTGTTTACCACAGCGATTGTCACTATTAGCAGGGCCATGGAGCAGACTTTTTGTTTATTTACATTTGAAAAGAGTCAGCTGATTTTGACACGCTGACTTTCTTCACCACACATATATGAGAAAATTACAGGAAATTTTGGTTGGAAACTTAAAAAATTTAAGGAAGCAATGTGACAGATATATTGTGGCAGAAAACAAATTTATCTGACATAAAATATGATTCTGGAATGTGTTGTCTTAATTCACTTTAGATTATCTAAGTTATTATCATACCTGCTCCAAAAGCAAAAAAGAAGCTTTCGTCTGGGAACTGCTGGATAAGTTGAACTACCCGATCAGCCATCCTGGCGTTTCTTTTTTCAATGAGTTCACGTCGGAAATACCTGTGCATGTTTTGAGACAGCAGCAGTTCATCGGCCGAACTTCCGTTATTGTCTGATATCTGAAAGAAAATAATAGATCATCGTTTTACCACTGGTCATTGTGCTTTGTTACAATTAAAAAAATCATGCTTCGACTTCGTAATAACTGTTTACGTGATGTTAATGATTGTATACGAGTAAAATGCCTTGGTGATGCCTCAGCCAAGGGGCAAAAAAAGATCGTAGTCAGGCAGTGGGCGTGGAGGTCATCTATAAGTTATTGCAATCAGCAAGATTAACGCAGACTTTGAGGAAGTAAGACACATTAACTAATCACATAACAGATTTATTTTTATTGATTGATTCATAAATGCTTGTAATGAACTTTTAATCGGAACTTCAGGCACTTTTGATCGTGATGTAATTCTTCCAAAAAACACTTCTTCATAGGTGGCTAATTCTAACTCACCTTGGTGTAATTGAATAATCTGAACTACATTTTATGGCAGTGGACAGATTTGCCCTTCTGCTCACTGCCAATAGAATGTCAGTCGTGAAAGCTTCTTCCCTTTGGCGAATGATCATGAAATGCTTTACCATAATTATTGAAACAATCAAACATCTGTTTTACAATTCGCGTATTAATTTTTTTCCACGAAATGTTTGTGTTTAGTGTATTGTTTGTTATAAACTTTCTTACTGAGCCATGCTTTCGTATAATTATATCATTATCATTTTCCCAACTCTGGAAGAGAAAAAAAAAAATGATAAACAGTTTTTGTAAAATTTCTTGTTACAATTTTCATGAACTCTCCTATTCTACTTCAGTCAAATTTTAAAAGAATAACTAAGACTTGTGGATAAACACCATCTGAATTTCAGCTTTAATTAAATTTGGAATTCTAGAAGCTCCGAAGAATGTATATTTATTCTGGGTGTGGTCACAATCTGCTTAGAAATTCTTTAGACAACTGATTCTTATCGTGACCTAATTCAGTAGACAAGTATCTGAACAGAAATATCCTTCACAGCGACCTAGCTACATAGTGATTAATTTGAGGAAGTCCAGAACTGTGCTTTTCGACAATGTATATGTGTGGAGATCCAAAAAACTGTTTAATTTCACAGAACTAATTTAGATCTCTGTTTAATTTGTTTACCCTTTTAAAGTTATTAATGAATTGACCAGATGGCGTCTTACACGTGTTCGAAGTTTTTCGCCAAGTGTAGGAGACTAATAGACGTTAGTTGGTGCCCCCCCCCAAAAAAAAAAATTAAAAAAGGTGGCAAGAAGAAAAGAAAATTGACAGAAATTTGAAAGAGACTGATTTTCAAGACCCTACTGGACAAGATCATCTCCGTCGTGGAAGGTATCGAGAGTAGATACACTTTCTGAAGAAATGCATTGACAATAGTATGGTTGTTGAAGTTAATTACGTTGGAAAGTGTTAAATAACCAAGCTGTCAATAGGTAAAATTAATCTGCATCAAAATTATTTCTAGGAAATACTGGATCTCCTCACTCATATCCAACTATAAATCTATATCTTGGTAGAAAAAGGACTAATATCTAAAATGACTGAAATTGAAGTTTTTGCAATAGATAAGACAGAATCAAAGATATCGCCACAGAGAAAAAGGTTAATATTCCTCCACTACTGCATTGCAAGTCTGACCTATTCTTAAGGCAGCAATGTTATGTGTAAAAATCAAAAAAGGACATGTTATTATTATTACCAAGTGCATTAAAATGAACAACATAACTGCATTCTCTAAAGTATAAGGAAAGAATTTATAGAGACATTAGGTATTTTGGAAGCATTAAAGACGAAAAATTAACAAATCTTTCGCCGGGAATCGAACTACGGACCTCTGGAATACCGGTCCAGCGTGCAGAACCACTACACCACGAAGGCACGCGAGGAAGGCCGGAGAAATACCTTATATACTCCCCCTTTTAAAGGCCTACTCGGTTTTTAGGGGACCCAATCGCCAAATCCTGGGTCAGGAGAATCCTCATCCAACACCCTTTTATTTCGGGCGCCAGTATAGAGACATTAGGTAAATTGGAGGCAGAAGAGATGAAAAATGAGCAATCGCCTTCGCCGGAAATCGAACCACGGACCTCTGAAATACCGGCCCAGCGTGCAGAACCACTACACCACGAAGGCACGCTAGGAACTTGGGAGAAATGCCTTATAAATTAATCTCTCGAAAGATATTTCCTTGATTCTACATGCTCGATTAAAAATACTGTCAGAGCTAGATAGTTTTTCTTTAAACTCACAAACTGGACACTGCCATCCTTCTACGGAGATAATGAAATATATTAGACAGAACATAACTATTTTTTTTTTTTCATTCAAAAGAGCAATATACTGTATTGTATTTTAGTGAAGGGCAAAAAAAAACAATATAACACATTCCTCTGGAAACAGAAAAAGGTTTTTCAGGTATTGGTACATGAAAATACATAACAATATACGATTACTAGCTTACTTTTCTTTCAATAGCTAAAAAGTAGTAACAAGAATTTGTTGAGTTTTTTTTTAGAATGCTGAGTGTAGTAACAAGTTTTTATTTAAGGATTAACCTGGCGCGTTTACGAAAGCAATTAAGCTCTTACACGCATTAATAAGTCATATATCTTCATTAAATGGTTCATTAAATCTCTTACAACAGCAGATTCCCTGCCTTCGGGAGTTTTCATCTAATCTTTATAGGTTTAATGTTTCCATGTAATTGGGATATGAAATAACAGCAATTTAGGGCTTAAATATAGATAAGAGAGTTGAGATTTAATGACCTTTGTTTATGATATATATATTTATGGATTACAATAGCATGTTGGTTTAAATTAAGCTGTTTTATGTTGGAGAATGTAGGTTAGTGAGGATCTTAATCCTCCAATTTTAATCGCAAGTTATATTCTGTATGGACACAGTTTCTCCCAAGGCAAAGGATGAAGTTGCACAATTTATTTTTTGTACTGGCTTCCAGAAGATAAACACGTGACAGTTAAATCAACACAACGAAAAAGTAAAGCTTTGATTAACACCAAACTGCACATGAAGGTAGGAAATGTATTTATGCAGGAATGAAAATAAGTATTATGTACATTATATACAAAGATGAAAACAACATTTAATTTTCGCGAATCATGACGTCACATTTGGATCATTATAAAATTTATGTTTAAAGTTAAAAATAAACAAAATTTACATTAATTTGGTATGTGACTAATACCCCGGAACTTCACACAAAGTTACAGCGACTGCCTATGTTTCCAATGAAGTGATTAACCCCTGTAGATGCTAGCAATGGTCATTTTTCCACTACAGAAATTTGAAGCTGTATGAGACTGGCTGGAGGAAGTAAACGTAGTGCACAACACGCTCAAAGGCACCCTAATGATTTTCAACATGATTAAGATGGGAGGCCATGAAATCACACTCCAGGTACTCTTTAACGACGTAGGCTCGTTGGCAACGGGCATTAACATTCACAAAGAGGGAATCAGAACTAGCGTAGAGCTTCACAAAGGCGTGTAGGTCTTCTTCCTGTTCTGCGCAGCTGTCACAGAACAATCTATAAAGCTGTGCAACTGGGTGCGATATCTTATTGAAATTCCAGCCCACACCATGATGAAACACCCCTGAATGCGTGATGTTCGATGGTATTAGAGCCTGATTCTGAGTGTCGTGGTATATCTAGACCCTTATGTGCTTATAATCTGATTCCAGGGCAAATCTGTAGTCTTCCATGAACAGGACATTGCGCCAATGTCCATTTGAGATGTTGATGACACCACTTTAATCTTGCCCCTCTGGACTGGACGGTTAATGGAGCACAAACACTTAGTACTCGAGCCTACATTCCCTTCATGTGAAGTCTTTGGTAAACAGTACTGGCAGATGTTGTTTTACCAGGTGACGCTGCAACCATGGATGTAACAGGAGTATTGTGGAGGGCGCTCATCGATTCCGCTTGGCTACTATAGCAATATGCCGATCTTTAGAATGGGTAGTAGCGATTGGTTGACCGGGCACAGGTCAACCAACCGGGTATAGGTAACCGGACACACATTCGAGAAATTACCGAATAATCAACGCCAAGGAAGAGAGCGACATCTTTGATTGATTGCTCTGCTTCAATGCGTCCGAGAGAACGCCAACGCTCACTATTTTCCATTTTTCTTCTTTCAGCCGTAAAAATATGAATATCATCAAAATTATCCTATGAAAGTAATAAACACTTAGTATCAGTATTTAAATGAACCTTTTGAAATCTTTGAGAATATTGACGTCTTCAATGACTGCCTAATTAACATGAGTTCGGACAGTAACATCTGATTGGCTGTAACGTGCGTTATCTGCATACTGCTATCTGCATTCCCAATGATTTTCAGCCACTCAAATTCAACTACGCTTTCGAAACCTGCTAATTTACATTGCATGCTTAACGTTTTTGAGCCAATGTAGATTACAACCCATGCTATAGCATAATGAAAGGAAATCCATGTACATAAGCAAAAAAGTGATGATACTTTAACTCTGTTAGACGCAGTGCAATTCAAGAGATTGTTTAATATCATATAAATAATCTGTTGATCGTAAAATGTTTGTACTTGTTTAGTCATTATGGCAAAGCATTTAAGAGTTATTTTCTTAAAGAAGAGACACCGTCGTAGACGATTTTCTAAGGGAAACTAGGTTGTACTCTCGTTACTCCTGATGAGAAACATGAAAACTTGCAGGCAGCCAATTCATTCGCCAGGATAAAATTTAGTGTGAAATAACAGCAAAAGCATTCTTGTTCACTTGACCATTGGTGAGCTTAATTAAAACAAATTAATATTTCTAAATATACTTAACACACATATTTGTTTTCTTGTGGACGGACATTTTCTTGTTTAACATTGCTCAGGAATGACCAAATCATTGGTCATTTAGCCAGCTCGTCACCAAGAAACGGATATTCGTGAAAAGGTAGATAGACAATTATAAACATCCACGTGTTCTTCAACGTTCGAACTCAGGACCAAAGCTATGGCAGCCAACACCGCTAACCACCATCGCAGCACTTCATATTATTTATAAACTGCAGATTTTATGATAAGATAATAACAGACGCTTCCTTTAGTTTTCTTATAGCTGTGAGGTGCAGAAGTATGGCTGCACATTTTAGAGTATAGCTGAGTGATATTTGGATCACGATGGATATTTTGAACATTGATGTTTTATATTCAGAACCACTACATAATAATACCGGCTCTTTAGGCGGGTTAGTTAGTGTTCATCAATAAAGAAACTTCCATAGAGTGCTGGGATGTATAAGTGCTGACACCTACTATAGCTAAGTTTTTAACTTGGAAATTCAAATTTCACAAATGTGTTCGTAGGCTTTCACAAGCGGAGTTTCCTTTTGCCTCATTAGTTAAGGTAGCAAGCTAAAAGGATTCTTGCAATAGGGTGCTCCATGGCAAGGCTACCGGCATCATTAGTGAGACTGATTTTCTTCAAGTTTTAAGGCATAAAGATGCTAGCAGCTCTATGAAGAACTGCTTTATAATTGACAATGCATGTGGCAAACGCAACGTCACAAACATTTGCATCTGGGGGGGGGATGCAGAGAGAAAATTCAAGACAAGTAAAAGACCTAATACAGTCAAACCTCTTTTGCATGGTAATTATCAAGGCTGAATGAAAAGTGATGTATTAAACAGGGTGACCCGAAAGCTTAAAAAAAAATGCTCTTCAAGAATTCAAAATTTAATCGGGATAAAGAAATACATATTTTATTTTGCTTACACATTGTATTAAGGAAATCTTTAATTTACAAGCAAATTCCGTTTACTTTAGCTGTCCATTCGATTTTGGTTGCATGCAGCATTACAAAATGAGATTTTTCATTTTCATGGAAAGGCAATCTAATTTGTGATTTCATTCACCAGTACGTACAGTCATTAGGTTATATCAACGCAGAAGCATGAAAAATGAGCAATGCCCTCGCCGTAATTCGAACTCCGGACCTCCCCATTACGCGACGAGCGTGCTTGTAGTTATACTACGAAGACATGCGGGAAGGACGGAGAAAATATCTTATAAGTGGTACACAAATTTTTATTCTTTTTACACATTTAAAAACGCTTTTCTTTATTGACGGTCGTTTTCTTCTCAAACTTGATCTACAACTTCGAGTATTTTTTTCTTCTGAAAGAGATGAACTTTTTTACCTACATTTCAATAAACTCCTTCATTTTATACTTCCCCGCGACTATTCATTTCTTTAATAAAACTGAGCGATATTTATACTGATGTTCTCAAACTATTATTTCGTTATTCGAGCCAGCTTGAAATATATTTATAACAATATTTAAAACACAATTCCAGAGTTAATGAATACAATAAATGGCACCATAGATGAAAGAAAATTAATCGATCTTCGTTCCTTGTCTTCAAGCAAACTCATTTTTAAGGACTGGAAGCACAGCTTTGATTTTGAAAAGAAAGAGTTTCCAAGTTTTCTCTTTAGCGTTCTGGTGTTGTAAGTGGTTAGCTGCCTAGCTAGCAATTGAATGATGCAAGATCCCCATAACCGGCAGGGTACAGTTGGTTTTTCATGTTTCTTGGCTTCCAAAGAACATAATGGGTTATACAGAGACGCCCCAACCAAAATATGGTGGACGATAAATTGTCAGCAACCGGTCTCACATAGACTCGCTTGTGTTATCGTGGAGAAATTTGCACTCATATGAGGATTAACCTGAGCTAATGAAGACCTGGCACAGCCGACCGGTATCGAAAAAAATTAGTTTCTCTTCCGCTGAAAAATCTGAACTTCTCGTCTAGCGGGGCAACATGGAACCAGTTCCGTTTCCTCAAATTAACCCGAGTGTGAAAAGCCGTTAAATGGTTAGCATGTCCAGCTAACAAATGGAAAGTTCAAAGTTCGAATCCCTGCCAGCGGGGCACATGTTATTTTTATTTTTTCTCGGTTTCGAAAAACCCAGTACTCTCCAAAATAAGCAATTTAATCAATGTGATAGTTTGACCAAGGGTTTGAATCCTGTCAAATGAGTAGGTTAAATAACTGTTTTGGGGCTCCTTTCTATTTCTAACAAACATTTTAATTGATTCCAGGCATCTGATATCGACACAAAAGAAAATATAGACTTTTTCTGAAGGGTTATGTACTAGGAAGTCTGTTATTAATAGAATAAACCTACAAGCTAAAACTAAACGCAGTAAAAGGACTTTTTTTCTGTTTTTCTATCAGAGAAAGAAAACACTAACTATCTATATGGTTAAGTAATTGAGATGTTGAAAAATGACGTAATAAACGAAGTGACATGTTAATCAGACGGTGATTTAAAAAGTTTGACTGTAACTAATTTCATTGGAAGCTAAGAACAGGAAAAAAGATAGGCCCACCACTGGCCAAATGGATAAAAATGATGCATACTGCTAATTCGACCCAGGGTTTAATAATGGCTAATGAGAAGGCTGCATGAACAATTTAGTGGTTTATCCATGTGTTGCGTGAATAGTGATCAATTAATTACCTTAAAAAAGTATTCCTTTAAGGTATAATGCACATTACCATAGTTAAATAAATCATTCCAATTCAAATCCCTGAAAAACAGAATCGACTTGCGGTTTACCCATTATTTTCATCAAAATAAATATTATGTGTCAAAGTGAAATAACACAAAAAGCGGTGTCAATAAGCGGAGCGGATGAAAATAAAATAAGGAAGAAGAAGGAATATATCTGCATGAGAAATATAAAGAAAATTGTCAATTTTAGCCTGCTTCTATGAAAAAAAAAGTAATTTGGGAATTATATATTATTTATTATCTCAGTGTAAAATAAGAAATGAATATTTCAAGTACGATGATTAGCATATCTCTAACCAAAAATTCGAGTACATAACTGTATTCCGGAACAGTTATATATGCGGAAAAAAGCAGTAAAACACACTTACGTCTATTGAATCTTGAGGTCCAAAGACAACTGAACTCAAATCCCCACAGTTGTAATGGCGGACCAGATCTTCTGTACCATAGCTTGAGGAAGATCTCCCATGCCTAAGACTCTCTTGAAGTACTAGGGTTTGGTTCAGAGCAAACAATACCTTCAGAAAGAATTCCTTTTTTCAGATTTATAAAAGTTACATTCAGTGGAATAAAAAATTTGAAGGTGTAATATATGATCATCTAATTTTCATTCGTAATATAAAATTAAACAACGGTTTATTTTTCATTTTTAAGGACTAACCACGGAAATGAAGTTTCTGTCTTCACCAAGTAGTTAGTCAGCAACGAAAATTAAATTTACAAAGACATTAATTACACCAGTAAAAGAACTCTTAAAATATAAATGTATAATAAAAATTTTAAAATAATCATCTCTAAATCGAAATTGCCAGACTTAATTAATATTTTTCGATAGTAATATTTTGATTTAAATGTTATTTAAACAACTTTATCCGAGTTTTTCTAAAAAGCTAATATTTTGAAGCTGAATTCTACCTCAGCTTTAATTGCCTAGACTGCTTTTTGAAGCACAACACCTTAATTTCATTTCAGCATACGGAGTAAATATAAGCATCCTGATTTAATCTTAATTTAAATAATATGCAGATATCTCATATTCATGAAATTTATGTTTCGCTTCAAGAAAACTGAATTATAATTCCTATATAATTTCAATTATATATATTTTACTATATAATTCCCCCCCCCCCCGTAGATTGTTGCCGTTACTCGCTTTGAAATCCTTGAGTTTGTTAATCAAAAATTCCTTAAAATTTTACAAAATATGAAATCGATAATAAAAAAAAATTCCAAATTTCAAGTTTTGGCTTCCAGATGCCCAAATTCGCAGGATTACGTTATTCAAAATTGGATGGCTCTAGGTACCGTTGTTTTATCACAATTCGAGAAACATACATACATTTATGCAGATTCTTCATTATTTAATTTCTTTAAATATAATACAGGGCGATAATATTTGGTGGCAACAATTTGAAAAGTGAAACAATGCTTGTAGTGAATGGACGCAAAATACCCAAACGAAATTTTAAGTCCTTCTGGGCGAATTGCCCCTTTGGATTAATACTGACTATTATCAATAATTGTATATTAGTAACTCAATATAATGAAAAGCCAATTATTAAAATGAAAATTATATAGTAATATAAATTCAATTCTAAATAATGGATATAAAACATGTTTTTAATTTGATAGAATTTATAAAAATGCTATGATATTTTTATGCAATTTTTGCATAAAATACGGTCATTATTTCAGTCTCACCTACATATGTGTGAGCGCGTGCATCTATTTCATGATAGCTGAATAAATTGTATTCTGTTTCATAATAACAAAATAATTTCAATTGAAAACTCAGTTCCTGTTCAATGAAACAGTTGTACTCGACCTTTATTTCACCACGTATCAATATATTGTTGCGTGCATACGGGTTCGTTACGAAATGAATGGCACAAGTCCGATGAAAAACGAACAAAAATTTATTATTATCACAAGAAATATGCTTAAATTTCCTCAAATTATCGTGCAGTATTACAATAGCTCACAGTAGTTATCTTTTAACTACTCAGATGTTCAATAGAACTTAATTCCAAAACAGCTAAAGAAAAGCTAATCCGCGAATTCGCTACAATCAACAAGAGCAGTTTTCTAAACAACAACAAACTAAGTAATTACTACGAACTGAGAGGTTTTCCTCCTTTTATAAGATTTTAAAATCGCGTCCGAGAATTTTCTAGTACTTTCTGGAAATCAAAAAGAGATATTTATTAAATGTTAAATGCACGCGCTCTTGTATTTTCAATTTTACGGCTTAGCTTTCTTTTAATATTCGTCACGCGCTGCACTGCGCAGGAAATAAAACCATTTAATTTATAATTGAACTAACATTAGCTTTTTTAAATACCAAATTCGTAACAATATTATTTCCCTAACTTTAAAGGAGTTTCCCTTTTACCTAATTCCTATACAGGATGCATTCCAAATGTATTAAAACTGAAGGTAGCATTAAAACTTAAAATGCATTAAAACTGAAGGTATACATTTATAAACGTAAGCTTTATTATATATTTAACATTTATATGTCTTTAATATATGAACTACTGTATTTAATAAATAAGGAAACGTGATTTCAACTAATGTTTAGTTATTCTTTGCTATGAGTTTTCGTTACAATATGTGCCGACCAGACTGAAGTTACCCTCCACCCTCCCCACCGAAACTAATAAATTCTTGCCAAAAGGAACGTCTACATGAAATCAATTAAAAAAAAAAAAAAAAATTCGAAACGAAACGGCTTCGATCTTCAACGTCTCGAAACGAAAAACCGAAGCCAAGATCACAGTCGCACATTTTACTTTTCCTCGAATTAAGTACAGAACGTAAAAAATCGTTTTGCGACAGGACCTGTAAGTTCGGAATAGAATGTAATTCACGTGTTCAGTCATGAAAACGGTTGTTTAAAAATCTCGAGACCAAACTTTTGAGTTACGCGACATCAACTTCTTAGCAAGTGTTAAAAATTTTCGTTACACTTTCAGTTCCCATGGTAAAGTTCATAATCCAATTAAATACAGACCTTCCCGTAGGCGTTTGTTCACTACACACGGCCATTAGTCACCCTTGAATTTGTGTTGCTGACTGTTCCTTTTTCCAAAGAAACCATGTAGTCTACTTCTGATCATGTTACTTTCCTCTGCACAATATGTACTTGTCCACGGTCTTCTGCACCGCGTTTCATGTTATGACTCATTACTGCTATCGTAGTGAGACTAAACGATAGAACGTTGACTTCATACCACCATATGAAACAAATATCGCCATGACATCCACCAGTTTGCTACAATGGAAGACATCACCAGTACAAATCATTAGCGAATGTAATACATATTTCGCTTCTGTTCTAAAGTGAAGATAATATCATCTGTTGCCACTATTTACAAAATTCAGTCATTACTGTCGAATCAAAATAAAATTGCACAGATAAAGAATAACCAACAGCTTTTATTTCTGCGTATCTCTTCTGAATGTGAAATGATATAAAGAGGAAAATGACAAAATCTTAAAATTTTATATTACAGTTTGAATAAAATTTTTGGGGGTTTTAATGATCGCTCAAAAGGGCCCTTTTAAAGTTTAATATAGTTTATCTGTAGACATTATCGATAGAGACTAAGCATTTAGATTAACATACGAAAATTATACAGTGTGCCAACTTAAGTCCGGTACCAGCCGGTTAACTGCCAAACGGCTGCAGTTATAGTCATAAGAGAGGTATAGTAAAGTGGTTATGTGCTATCAGATGAGACTGCTTACAGTGTCACCTGCTGGAAGACGGCTAAGATAGCGTTCCTATCACGAAAACCGTACGAGATATGAGGAAAACGTGAAATACAGTAATACAGATTTGTAGAGCATCATTGATTTAACAAGAAAAGACACGTCATGAACATGAATGCTAAGAATATAATGTTTTAAACGCGCATTTATTCGCGATTTCCTACACTGTGACGTGACTAAACGATCTTGGAGAAAGGTAAACAACTAGTTATAACAAGATATCTTATTTTTAATTTTTTTTTTTATTCTCTGTCAGCTGAAATGTACAGCTGAACCTTGTTATAACTTCAGGATGCATACGTTGTAGCATAACGGGTGACACGTTTGCACAAGCATCATTAATATGTTGTCGAACGTCCTGCAATTTTTGTGGAGATCTACTGTTTGATGCAAAAGTCCATTGGAATCAGATCATCATATCTGATTATTCGTTCTCCGAAATCCTCCACCAAGTACTGTACAACGCAGGCGCGTTGTAATGTTGGAATTATCCATTCCGGAGTTGAAACAACAGAACTAAATTCGAAAACCTATATTTGATATCTCAAAACATGATCGAATTTGCAGTGCCCAGTAATAAGTGTTCTGTCTATTGTACACTGCGCAAAAAAAAAAAAAAAAAAAAAAAAAAGGGGGGGGGGAGAGGACAGTTCTATATCTCCTGTTCTACTGAGCTAATTGACGAAATTCAATTATAATTTTTTGTTAGTGAAATTAAAGTACATATTATTAGCAGTAGATATCTAAAACGAAATGTTTATTGAAAATAGTTGTGCATATTTGTAACAGAAAATGATGCAGTTATGGAAGACTAATATTTATAGACATTTAATGAATTAAGCACGCATCAAACATTTTCTTAATTTCTTGGTGTCACTGTTTATATATGAGTTTTTCAAACAGACTCAAATCTCCAAAATGTTTTCCATCATATATTTTCGGGTTGAAAGCGGTACATAGAGGAACCCCGCAGTTTAAATCTGCTTATTTCAAGGATAACTGGATATTATTCTCCCAAAATTGCTTTTATCTGATAGAATAAACACTGGAAGGGTTTAATGGACAAAGTAATCTATCGAAAATGGTTAGCTCCTCTGCTCCATCCTCCCTCCAAGGCGGAAATTTTCTCCTTTTACCCACAAAGGAAAGAAAATTTTGTTCTTCCGTTTTCTCGTTTAGGAACAATGTCCGGATGATCGGGATGTCGTTGCCCTTTTCTCGAAAACAAGTAACCGGAAATCGAACGGTTTCTAAAGCAAACTGAAAATTTTGTATCGAACTGGATAGTTTTGATCAAGTTCTTTATTCTAAAAGTAAATTAAATACAAGGGGTCTCAGAAATAGTTGTTCTAAATGTAGGCACTACTAAATAAACCGGAAAACACACTTGGAAAGAATCCAGTCTTTAATTTAAGCTGACATTTAATTTTATTCCATTCTTTTAAGGGATGAAAAAAAAAAAAAAAAAAAAAAAGACCTAAGTACACTGAAGCGCTTTTCTTTCCCTCCCCCTCCCTGTATTTTACATTTTCCTACATTTCAGGTATTCATCAAGAGACGCCGAATTTCGCTAACTGAAGTGCATTACACATTTTCCCTTTGAGTAATAAAGTCTCCGTTTAACATTTTGTAACTCCTAGAACAAGCCTTAGTGCTTTCAGTTTGCCATTAAATCCAGCGCGTCGTACATAAACTTTGTTGCCAGCTGACGATACTTAAGATCTTTCATTTATCTTCAAAATTA